TGTCTATTCTGTCGCTCTGGCCGTATGTAGAAGCTCCGCTTGCTCTAGAGAAAATGCGACTAGCAGTTGAGCACGTTCCGTATAGTAGGATAGATAGGACAACAAAAGTAACTGTAAGGACTTCATCAAATACCATGATCGTCATAACGTGCAGCTCTGTCTTTGGTCTTCATAATTGTTGCCGTTGCTTGTTAGGAGATCGCAGGAAGGGTACACCATTCCTGGAGAAACGCAGCTCGTGACCTATTGTCAGAGAGACGTCCAGAATCTGGGGAAAACTACGCCTATCAGAGACTAGGCTGTATGGAAGTTTCACCGTATTGCGCACGTATTGACCAGTGGCGCACTGTGTCATCCATTACATATATACAACATCCGTGTAATTTTGATAGCAGTTCTATCTAATATACCATCTAGGTAGTACCGTAATCACTGTACGATTGAAGGTTACAAGCTGGATCGAAAGGCTTTTCTATCTCTACTTGTATTGCTTAGCTACCCATGTGTATGTACATCGAGACTACCTCGTCTTGTGATACTGGTCATATGTCGAGTGATAAGTGAGTACCAGACTCATTTTGTTTAAGCTATATGGCCCAAACAACCACACGGCCATCAACACCACTCGCTGTTGGAAAAATTAGTTTCAAGACTAACTGGCTTATAAGTCAACGTATGTAGACGGTCCCAAAACTTACTACTGAATTTACTGACAATTCCGTTTGCCTCCTCATATACGCGAACTGTATTGATAGTATTCTGGTGGACCGTCTTGAGTTGAGTATCAGCCTGGGTCTGTCCCTTGAGATCCATTTGACGGAACATATTGAGAGCAGACTCCTCGCGAACAGCACCGACACCAGAACCGGACTTTTCTTCGATAGTTCCTGCAAGCTGCCATCCGTTCTCGTCCCCATGAAAGCGGTACGGCTCGCAATCCTGCTAGAGTAAGTATAACAGAGCTTTCGCTAGTATATCGAGTAAACTCACATGGCCAGCAGCGATGATCTCATTCTCCCCATTCCATATCAAGCTGTTGAACGGTAAGAACCGGGTGGTAATGTTCAACATAGCCCGGGGAGGTTGGTCCGGCGCACTTGGGTACACAACAGTGACGCTACTATCATGCCCAGTGAATGCAAGCGCGTTTCCACTTGGAGAAAAGGATACTCCTTGAATCCATCCTGCCGAGTCATTCAGAAACTCCCCGCATATAGTGTTAAATGGAAGACGTTCTCCCCAGGCGCTCGGCTCGGGGCGGGTATCAACACCCTTGATGTAACTGGAAAGGACTCTCGCGTGGGAATCGGTCGAGCCTGCAGCCAGAAGGACAGAGTTCGGATGCCAAGCAAGTGTGGTGATGGTACTGCGTATAGGCTTCTTCAGGTGTTTCGAGATCCACCAGTCGTTTTCTTCCTCAAAATAGCAAACTGCGATCACACGGGCACCTGAGCCAACGGCAAACTTTTGTTCAGATGGAGACCACCTCACAAAGGTTGCAGCTCTGTTGATCCGAAGCAGGACCAAAGTCGGTTTCCAGCCAGCAGGGGTTCGCTCCCAAACATATGCATTGCGATCTATGTTTCGTGATGGGTCAGGAGGTGGAACTGGAGAGTAAGGGAATGGAAGCAAATACCCTGGGAACAGGTAACAATCCGACCACTGTTAGGAGCGATATCAACGCCCGTCACAATCTTCTCATGGCCTTTAAGTTCATCGGTCAATGAGAACTTGTTACCTGCTTTCTGGTAAAGCTCCACATTGCTGTCCCGAGCAACTGCAAGTGTTGACTTATCAGGGGAAAATGAGTGATCAGCAATGGGATTGTGGAAGAGGTGGTGAATTTCAGGGGCGGTCATTGTAGTCCAGACGACAGGAGGAGCTCTCTACTGTCGGTCAATTGTGAATTCCGATTTCTTCTGAAGTTGTTGACACAGTTAGGTTATCTTGTCCGAGGGGCGTTAACCCGACGAACCATCAATGACGCGGGCGAGTGATTATATAACATATCACATGATCTTCTCCCGGCCTGGTCCAATAGCACGCTAGATACTCCGTACCAGCAACAGTACCACCGCCCTTATTTTTCATCCTAGCTCCTAATAACATCCTCCTCTGCCTGGTTTTCTCCACTACCTCGCCTCATATTAAGAAATTGCAAAGCTTATAAATGGTAAGAAATGGCATCGAAAGTAGCTCCTACGCGCATCAATCCTTCGGGCAAACCCGCTTCAGCCAGTAGCCTTCCAAACCAAACGTCAGTGAAACCTCCTTCCCAGATTCAACACCAGAGCTTCTGACAATCCTCCAGCCTCTATTGTGCCAATCTTCCAGATAAGCTTCCCAAATATGACCTACGTCTCTCGCTCTATATGCTTTTCTCCACCTACGGTACGGTTTTAGATGTCGTGGCTATGAAAACAAAAAAGATGCGCGGCCAAGCCCATATCGTATTCAAAGACGTCCAGGCGAGTACTCAAGCAATGCGCGCTCTTCAGGGGTTTGAATTTTTTGGGAAACAGATGGTACGTTCCACTTCATATTGTACCATGCCATGCTCACTCATTTGGAATCTAGAAAATTGTCTATGCTAAAGGTACATCGGATGTGATTGCTAGACTCCGTGGGGCCTACAATGTGCCGACCACTGTTGCTACATCATCTGGAGGCGCCTCAACAGATCTTCAAAAGTCCATCTTCAGCGGGCCTCCTGGTTCAACCGCATTGCCCTCAAGACCCACTGGGGAAGCGAATGGGGAGGCTGCTTCTCAGGGAGTCAAACGGCCCCGTGAGGAGGAAAGTGATGAAGGAGAAGCCCCAATGGACGAGGAAAGTGATGTGCCCATGGAAGATTCGTCGGACGAAGACTAAGCTTTTCTGACGCAAACTGGCCGGGAAAGAGTTGGGAGGAACAGAGAACCCTCGCCAGGCTGTGCCTGCTTCAAAATAATTTAACCTAGACCTTGGGGGCTTTGCACACCCTCCGTTGCAAAGATTTCATGTGGCAGAGGGAGACTCAGGCGATTACCAACCATACCGAGCCATATAATGAGATACGCCTCGGGCGTAACCCGCTGCTGGCCTGCGATTTTCTTCATAGCGTCTGCGGTATTGCATGGGTGAACGAAGAACGCCGGAGTTCCGGATTGTGGATGGTACTACGAATCATAAGCGACAATGGACTGAAAGGTCCCAAGAATCATTTGCACATACTCCGAAACTAATGCCACCCATGACACCAACCTCTTGAAGTTCCCTTCTGTACTGGTCTGGTACCAGATATTGGTAGACTTCATCTATCCCCAACGGCCCGGGATGACTGTCCCGCCGTAACGTGAAATACAAAACAGGAACTTGGTATGTGGGGGAGAGAATAACGTCATGTTCTATGTGTAAACAGTTGCTAGAGTTGGATGTGCGAATGAGGGCCTCCTGTTAAGATACTGGTCAGATGATACCAAGAATGTACAATGGCACAAATGATTTTCCACGGACAGGGTCATCTTCACAAATCTCCACTTGCGGTTCTCCAATATCTACGGGTGCGGACAGGGTGTCATCGTAGTAGGGAATACTGGCATTGTGAATGCTCCGCGATATCTTCAGAACTGGACCGTTTGCCTAAAAGAACTAGTTAGAAAGGAGTAGGTGCGCAAGCAAGAGAAAGAAGAGACCCCGCATTCAATTTTGAAACACAGTCATCGATAATCAGACCAATTGTCATTGGACGGACTTTGGAAATAACCCTAAGGAAAAGGCAGCTGCTACCTGTTGTACAAATCGGATCGATGACCATCCCACCCCATCTAAGTTGCCCAACACATGAATGCGATCCAGGAAGGCGCGACAGGCGCATTCGAATTCCTCTGATGTGAGAAGAGGGAAGGCCGATAAAACCCTCTGGCTCGAGAGTGAAGATGATGCCATGCGACTGGTAAAGACGCGGTGTAATTCTACCTCCGCTGACTGGCGGGGAACAACTGCGGCAGACACTTTTTGCATTGACATGATCTCTGCTGACTCCTCTAGATGCACACCGATCCGGTTTGCGTTGTCTCGACCCAACGCCGTTCTTGGGCTAAGAACAATCTTTTACGATTGTTTGCGGCAGCAGTATGTACCCATCGATCCAGCTTAGAGTTCACAATACGGATCGGCGAACCCGAACACTAAATCCACATTCGGCTAAGAGACAAAGTAAGGAAAGGGGGGGGGGAAATACTTTACTATGTAGAGAGCGGTAAGGATCGCCAGCCTAATGAATAGATCATAGATCCTGATAATGGCGGGTGGGGGGTTTTGTGGCTGAGTTCATAGAAATCCCTATCAGACATGTATCGAAGTATCATGACTGTACAGTACGTAAGCCAGCCCAGCCTGAGTAGGTACACAGTCAGTACCTGATCACTGTACTGCGTACTGATCGATTTTCTCCTCGCTCTCCCCTCCCTTGTCTTTTTCTTTCTTTTCTTTTCTTTTCTTTTTACTTTTTTTGCCTTTTGTGTTTGTTTACATATAATAAATCTCAAAAAAGAGAATGAAGTCCATCGTCATCGGTAGTACTCTAGTGAATAGTGAGATAATTACTATTTGTTCCGACGATCATTATTTCTTTGTATGCAATGACCATCATCGTGGCTGAACCTTTTTTTCCCTCCCCTTTTTCCGATGGCTTCCTGTTTGCGGCACGGCCAAGATTCATAGCCACGCTCCCAACTACTCTGTACTAGCTGAGGTACTAAGCAAACCAATTCCCACTATTTACCAAGTAGGTGATTAGCTAAATTAACTAAGCAGGACGTCCATGACCTCAAGCGGTTCATCATTCGATCAATGATTTTCCGCTTTTCCTCTCAGGCGCTTCTAGCTGTATTTCCGGCTTCTGTAACATTCGGCCTGTCCGTGTTCGTTCATGGTGTCGTGTTCTTTCCCCCCCCCCCCCCCCCCCCCCCCCCCCTTTTTTCTTTGTTGTGGTGTTAACCTCCCCCCCCCCCCCCCCCCCAAATTACTGTTTACGGGGTATACCCACCGGGATTGTGTTTGTACAATGGCCTTGTCAACCTGGCTCGCATCTCAACCTTCGTCGCCCTCCGACCGCGATGATCCGTCATCTCGTTCCCAATTCCGTTCCCCACGGGAGGAGCTGTAGCGCCAGTGGGTAACGCATTCGTCATTTTTAAGTGTTTCTTGCATGCTCAACCATGGCAATACTATCTCTCTCCACTTCGTTATGTATCTTATTTTTCCCTTACTTGTCTCCAATTTGACCCTGCTCGTATTCCGCTTCTTTGTTGGCTTCTCGCTTTTCTTCTTCGGGTACCTTTCATCTTGTTTCAAGGATAAGCTGTGTTTGCTTTTTATAGTGCTGTATAGCCTCTTCGTCCATCAATATCATCGCTTCTTTATCCCGGCCATTTCTTTTTGCATGCCTTCCTTGGTCGTCAGATATAACCACAAGTCTTTCTTCAATTATCGTCCCAGACTCCTACGACACTTTCTCCAACCTTGTACCTTTTCATCTCCGCAACAGGTCACTTCTCCAGGCTACCAAGCTTCAGAGAAAGAATCTGCAAACCTTTGCATTTTTTTCGAAGCTTGTTCATCTGCAACAAACCGTCAACATCAACCGAGATCTGTAAGCAGTGGCATGTGCAGACAGTAGCGAGCCGTCAACGTCAGAAACTACAACATTGAAAGGAGATTGACCCCATCATTGGGAATCCTCAGACAGAAGAAACACTCCTAGATGCTTTTCACAAACTATTGACATCCGTGTGGCTGCACATGTCGTGCTTGTGTCTTCTCTAAGACACATATTCATATCTGATTATTCATATCTGATTTGATTTGGCAGCATCAGGAGTCTCAACCTCTATTGTGTTTTGTTGTTGCCCCCAAGTCATGGGAAGTTTCCTCTCTATACAAAGTGGAAACAAACAGCGCCGTTCAAACCGGTTGTCAAAGCCACCATCGACTTTCACCTCCCGTTCAGCAAGCTTCCGTTCACCCCGTCAAACTTCTAGCGCCGGTTCTCCTGTGGCACCCAATCGTGCTCCCTGGCAAGACTCATCGACTGTTACTTCCGTTACTATCGGTTCGCCTGGCCTGGAATCTAATGACCGAAGGTCGCAGTCAATCCCCGCGGTTTCACTGCAGTCTGAGGCGCCATGGACAGGTGTCAGTGGGTCTGGAAAGCGCCAGCCCCTATCCGGAGAGCCAAGTCATGTTCGCCTCCGCCTAGACACCTCCCACTCAGGTGTAACGGGACCTTTGTGCAGGCGAGCTTCTGTTCAGCCATCGAGGCAGCCAGTTACCCTACACAGTGAGCCTCGATCTCCGTCGGTTCAGCCAGGGCCGCCAAGGAGGTCCTATTCAGTCAATTCACCTGCACAGGATACAAGAAGCGCCATACACCAAAGCAGCCTTGAAGAAGCCGCGTCTTCGAACACCCATTTCATGATAGATAGCCCGGGCTTCTCCTTGATCCGTCGGCGCTCTTTACTTACGCGTCCTGGGATCGCCACGAGACGACCAGTAAGAGGTGCGGCTCGTCGATGCCCGTCACCAATTGGACAAGAGCTAGGGTTCCCGCTCCGCTGTACAGACGAGCCGCCTCAGCTATTCCAGTGGCCACTGATAGATTGCGAGGATACTGTGTTGCAACACACTAATTCGCTTGCTGAGGTTCGCCCGCCAACGCCTGGTGACTTCGGGTACACCCATTTGGGAGCCCTTAAGCTGGGATCTTTAAGGGTAGTGAACGGCTCAGCTTCCCCCTGTCCCAGCGACCGAAGCCGACTCAGGCCAAACAGTCCGACTCAGGACAGCAGCGCCATACATACAGCAGAGCTACGTTGGAGCAGAGATCATTTGACTCAAGATAATCCATCTGTGATTGCTACATCAAGTTCCCCGGACATGGATGACTATCAAATCGGACCTGAAGAAATTCGGGGCCCTGCGGTCCCAGTCTCGGAGTACACCGGTGCCGATAGCCCCAACGGGGTATTAGCGAACAACGGGAATGTGCCGAGTTTCCTTATAAATACGCCGCCTATGTCTATCGTACAGATCCCATCATCTCCCGACATTATGCGATACGAAGATTTCCCGACAAGTCCATTCTCTTTTGAGCAATCGCCGGTTATCGCAACATCCCATGGATTCTATGCTAAGGAAGTGGAAGACGAAGCTATATATGTATCTGACGAGGAAACCCCCTTAGACTTCATGAGGGAGACTTGTCAAGAAGTTCCCCACCCGAGAAGGGTTTCGCATTCGCACAGAAAAGTAGATAGTGGGTACAGCTCAGCTGCATCAGTTCGCTCTCTACAAGACAATCGCACTAGGGCTTCTCTTGATTCTCAAGAATCAATACAACAGCCTTCAGGATATCGCAGGTTTACACTCGGAGGCACTGAGTTGTGCAATGTAGAAAATCACTCGGGGATGAGCCAGCAGCTTCCTATCTACCGCCACCTAAGTCTTCAAAGACCTAGAATGAGCCCTATAGGGGTCTCCCATGGTTGGTCAACAAACATGGCAACAATGTGCCATGAGACACCACAGATATCGACCAGCAGTCGCCCAAGAAGCTTGTCCACTGCTTCGCCACAACGCTCTGGTCACACGGTGTCCCTTTCCCGGTACTGCACTTAGCTACGCCACTTGGAATCTTCCTCTAGTGGAGCCTCACTTCCTTCAAACGCATACCAGCCACAATTCTAACAGCCAACGATACCATATCCGACGAACAGCTCTATGAAAGTTTCGCAACCCATAATGCAAGACTCAGCTATGGCCGCGACGCAGGTTTAGAGAATTCGAACCAAAGGACAGCTGACGCTGGTCGTAACAGCGACTAGTCTTACCAGTTCAACCCACGTCGGTCAAATCCTTGGGGGGGGGTTGGTATCGTCAAGAAAACTCCGCATCTGGCGCATGTCAGCAAAACAGCAAAACCAACCTGATCTGTACGCGGTAGAATCACCTTTAATCTATCGTTCATCCCTTTGTTCTTTATTTTTCATTTGGGGAAAGGGATTGTGTTTGTGTGGCGTTAATATATTGTCAAAAGTCTCACTGCGTGAGGTTTTTGGCTTGCTTTTGGATATACCCGTGTCGATGACTTTTGTTACTAAAGCGCTATTGTTCCAATCTTCCATCTTACTACTGTTTTCAATGGGCAGTCAAGCAACTCATACCCCATCAATTTTAGTTTTTTATTTTTTTTTGTCCCCTTCTCTTTGCTGCCCTTTCCCTAATTTCTAATATGGAGAGAAAGACACATGAACTGTGCGGCCCATATTCACCAAAAGCTTTTTGTTTTTTAACTTGGCGTTCTTTTCTTTCTTTCGTATATCCCTCTCTCGCATTCTCTCTGTAGATACCATTTCACGATGCGAAGGGGGCCCATAAGTGTGAGCTTCGAAATAAGAGACACGGGGCAACATAGCGGTGAAGCAATGTTTAGCAGTTGAATACTATAGTGGTGCACTGCATGAGTAGGACATTCCGAAGGTAGCGGTCGACAATTCACATATAAAGTGGGGTAGATCGAGAAGAAAGATGCAGTACCCAACCTAAGGACCCGACCGCCTGGTAACATGCAGTTTAAGCGGAAATGGATCTATCCAACAGACGACATCGCTTGGGGTTTCCAATTCTGCCCGGTGGTGTCTCATCAATGAGCAGGCTCAAAGCGATCAACAACCGCGCCACCATCTGAGGCGAAACCTTACGCTTAGCTATTCCATCTATATTCCAAGACGATGAATGAAAAAGAAAATCAGTATAATCAGATAGATAATACAGTATGGTTACTTTCAGGCAGTGTACACGTGGTCATATACTCTTATCATACTATACATCACATTTTGCTTCTTGCAGCTCACAGCTTCTCGGGCTACGCCACGTTGATGTCCAACCTTTGGAATTATACCCCAAACCGTATGGATACCCATATGACAGTAATGATACCACTGCATACAGTGATCTGAGTATGTATACATTTATGCACATCGGCCCAGATCCTTTGCAAGACGCAAGGGGGGGTTACACTAATGGCATACCGTCGAACTATTTGGTGTTTCTTAGATCAGTTACTGACCTAGTCATAATCACAAGATAAACCATAACACCAGGATGAAAATAGGTCAATTCTTCATTAAACCGTCATAAAGTTGTTTATGATACAAGTCATACAACCACAGAAACTCAAATACAAAATTAAATCACCCGCAAAACCCGTTAATGCTCAAACCAGCCGTAGAATGTCAATTCAACATATATACTTAGTCAACCAACTTCAAAGCCTCGTATAACTAGACATTTTCCAAGTTTATAACTGAGTTATATTAGAGAGTCCGGTGTTAAATCGCATGAGGCCCATCGCCGGTACCGTAGGGGTCCAACAGTTGGCAGTTTACTCAACACGAATTTTCTTCAGGGTAGGAGCAGGTTCCTTTGGGACAATAACTGAGAGGATCCCATCTTTCAGAGTAGCCTTGACTGTATCTTGGTCTATTCTCGTCGGAAAGGTAAAGGCTCGATGGAATTCGCCAATTGGGCGCTCGGTAATCCAATATTTGTAGCGTGGTTTGGTCTGCTCCTGAACGTCTACCTGCTCTGAAGATTTGGTCGATGAACCAGCAGACGCTGCGTCATTTGCCCCTTCATCTTCATCTTCAACTGTTGGTTGGAGTGACTTGACAGAAGAAGCATCATTGGGAACTTCGGCCTGATCGTTGGTATTGGATGCGCTGTCCCTGTACCTGCGCTCCACGCGGCCCTTAATAACCAATGTATGAGGATCGATGAACTCAATGTCAATACTGGCTTGGTTAACACCAGGCAGCTCTCCATTAAGATGGTAGTTGTTGTTTAGTTCATAGACATCAAATCGAGGTGTGAAGGAGCGAACAGGTGTAGTCCTTGGCTTTGGGCGGCATGCTTGACGGACATTATAGTCATCAAGTAAATCAAACAAAGGAGCAAAATCGCTGGAGAAATTGGGGAGAAAAGCCATGTTCTGAAATGACTCGCGTAATAATTGAGGGCTTGGTGGTGTATCAGAAGTGATTTGGAGAGACTTAGTAGCGTCAAATCAATGATAGTAGATATTGATGTATTTCGTGGAATTTGAGTGACGATGGGTGAATGATACAATTTAGCTACCCATTCTTATATCTATAATATTGTATTCTAGAAGGAGCTACCATATACTATTTGTTTGTACGTATAAGGCAACCGAATGCGCTGGGAGAGACGAGTATATTCCATGAAGATCCCCAGATGGCTCTGGAGCCTTCGCCAAGTGATAGCGATTGATAAGATAAAGAACTCCTTATCAGCTGAGTACAGGTATGTACTAGTATGTACTAGAAGTTGCCCGAAGCTTCAGTGCCGGTTAAAGATAGATCACATGACATAGTTACCTCAGGAAACAGGGTCTTTTCATAGTTAGTTAGATATACAATAGATTACTAAACACTGCAATTGTACATACAAAGCTATTACAATATCCTTCACCCCCCTCCTCCGCTCCGGACCAATCCTATGACTGCAGATAGTGCCTGATCATCCAATGGAAGCTACCGGATATTGCGAATTCCAGGGGCAGAATACATCTCAAGCTGCCTATGCCCTTTGCGCAGTAGATACTCAATGGCATTGAAATCCTTTTTGTTGACGGACATATATTTTTGAAATTCCATCCTGTGTCAAGTCATGAACAAATCCTCCACGTAACGTTCAGCGGGTCAGAACACCATTGCCATTTAAGCAGGGACATACCTAGCGTAAGTCTTAAAATTACTTCTCGTCTCCTAAGCCGGGATAGGACACTGTATTAGTCTAGATGTATGTTTATTCAAATGATAATTCAGAGAGGTCTGCTGCTTACTAAGGGCTTCTTTCGAATTTCTCGCAAGCATTTTCGATAGAGAGACAAGACCTCCCTTTGGAGACCTGACAATCGGGCCATGACTATTTTCACACGATGTCACGAAAGGGCGATGTGTAATTTGCTCAGTGCATCATTGGGCGGATGTTTCGGCGTTGGACAAGGGAAAATCACGGGTAAGTCGCAACTGTGCTAGCGCCAATCTCCGGTCCCCGCCAATCTGGGAGGGAAGCGAGCGGATATCTCCTTATCCCGGCCGAGAGATAGATAGCCCGTAAGGTAAATACGCACGGAGTACGATTTAAATCAGAAGAACATGAAAGACCTGATGTCGGGACTATACAAGTAGTAGGATCGATCCTCCTGCTATTTCCCATCCTTCTTAATGTGATTTAGAGGTACACCGATATGAAAATGACTAGCTTCTCTGTAAGTATATCTAATCTATTCCGTCCATACCCATACCCCTACCCATACCCAAATATTATAATATCTGGGGTTGTCGGCCATATACCATACATGCCTCATGTAACTGGCACGAAGAAATAGCCATTAGCCCTGGTTATTCTACCATATCATCTGATGTCAATATCTATTTCGTCTTCATTCCCGTCACGTAGGCTGACTACTTCTCCCCTCTGCCATGTAGCGTCTCATTCGCTTTCTAGCTACAGATGGTCACATTTACTATGGCGATGCCATCATGCCCACTGGTACCAGTGACATTGGAAAGGTGACTAGGGCACAGGTGATTCAAGGGGACATTTTTGGCCAGCACCAAGTCACAGACCAAGTCGCTGATGTTAAAAAGCTCCTCGCACCACTGGCGAGGGAGGACATTGTAACGGTGCGTTGTTTGGGATTGAACTATGAGAAACATGCGCGAGAATCCAACCTCCCCATCCCTAAATATCCGGTCCTCTTCTACAAGCCCATCACAGCCATTACTGGTCCTCATGATGATATCCCCGTATGTTCTATGGCGCAAGACGGGGAGGGCCTGGACTATGAATGCGAGTTAGTTGTCGTCATTGGCAAGGAAGCCAAGGATATTCCGGAGAAGCAAGCTTTGGATTATGTACTCGGGTATGCTGTCGGAAACGATATTTCCCATCGTGAGTGGCAACTCAAACGCGGCGGAGGACAATGGGGTTTGGGCAAAGGCTTCGATGGTTGGGCACCTTTTGGACCAGGCATCGTCTCTACAAAGCTGATCCGCGATCCCAACGCCTTGAATATCTCAACTAAAGTCAACGGTCAAACAGTCCAGTCATCATCAACCAAAGATATGATATTCGGGGTCGCCCAGACGGTATCATTTCTCTCTCAAGGCACCACTCTGCTACCTGGTGACCTAATCTTCACGGGAACGTGAGTTGTATTCCCTTTCCTCCCCCCAAGAACAAATTACTTACATGTCCCTTCATAGGCCACAGGGTGTTGGGATGGGCCGGAAACCTGCAGCTTGGCTTACAAATGGCGATCAGGTAGAGGTCTCATTGGAAGATGTGGGTTCATGCGTTAACCGAGTCGCCTTTGAAAAGCCATCATCCAAGCTATGAAAGAGATAGTATGGGGTTGAATAAATATTTAACAGGTACTACGAGAGCTTTGCCTTTTCTGCTATGGAAACATAGTAATCATGAATTCTCTCTGCCGATTAGGGTTTTGTTTAGTCATGAAACTGTAATGCTTTGCTAGTAAAATTCTTGCCGATGTCCAAAGCTATACCTAGTTAACCTGAGCTCCATACCCCTTGATAGACTCAGCAAACGCCCAGCTCTGGGCCTCGATCACTTGGTCTTCCTTGACCTCAACTCCCTCCGCTGTGATCACTGCAATTGAATATTTATCCAGACTCCGCGCATCGCGGTACCACAGAACCTTAAGGCATTCCCTCAAAGCCGCTTCTGCCTCATCCTTACTGATTTCCTCGAGTGGCTTCTCTTCAGGGAACAGCCGACGCAGGATGGGGATAGCAAGATGCGCACCAAACCCAGTTGCGAGATGTGGTGCTGAATATGTAGTACCGAGAAGGTCGGCTGAGCTGAGGAAGGGCTTCTTGTATTCATCAAATCCCGCAACGAGAATGTGATTCCAGAGGGGATTGAATTCGGAGCGACGTTTATAGAGGACCTTGGAAAGGTACGTATGGAGGTTTTTTGCGTTCAGCATATTACCGTGTGTCGAATAATTTTCTCGGATGTCGATAGATTCCAGAAGACGATCGATGTATTGCATGTCTGATACATCGCCACTGAAGCCGACCACAGCAGAGTCGCCGAATACACGCAGGCGTTTAACATCGGTGAACCGAGCGAGAGACCCGTACGATGCTGGAAGAGTCAATATTTTCACTAGGAGCTTCCCACGTAACATTAAAGGCCTGCGACCATACCCAAGTTATCAGCAGCGATCGCCACGCCACCGTTGAACTTGACCGCTATTACCGACGTCCCAGTCACAGCAGGAGACTGAGTGTGGGTTTTTGGGCCAGTGGTCTGAAGGTATGAGGAGTTGTAAGACCCGTAGATATCATCCCTAGGCTTGAGGTAGATGGTTAGAGACGTTGGAGCATTCGTGTAATAGAGCACTTACCCGACCCCAGACTTCAGGATAATGGTTCATGGTGAAAGGTGGAATATTATGATATATTGAACGGCTAGCGATATTGAAAAGGCGAGTCAGAGTAAAGGGCTTAGTTAGATTCGATTTGGCGACTTTAAGAGTTGAGTTGGTAAACTGGGTAATACGCACTCGGTTGAAGCTAGGCAGTAGAGCTGACGGAGCTCGTTGTTACGTTAGCAACGCCCACTCGCGGCGCGCTTATCGGAACTTGTAGTGTCCACGCGCGTTTAGCGAGTCTCTCCAACTTACCAGTACATCACTACCTACTATACACAAGTTTTTCTGTATCTCTATTATCACATCATTTACAACAAGCACTCTAGTTAAAAAATAATTCTACAATATTATTCTTCGAATGTAGCAATGAAAAGATTATAGGCCAGAGCTGGTACTGTTGCTCCTTTGTTGAGCTATACAAATATCGTATATATACAATTGCCTTTCGAGTCATGGATTAGAATAGAGTACGAAGAAAGTCCTGGTGCTCCTTTTTTGCATCGCACTTTTATATCAGTAATGTGATATTCTTTTCTCTGCCGTCAACTATTGTCCGTTTGGGCACCGGGCGCAACACCCCTTAAGAAGAGTTCCCAAATTAGCAGGGTCTGATCATGCTAACGAAGAGTTAACATGGTCTTGTTCGTGAATTGGAGATTGACCGCGCACCAGTAGAATCAGCAGTTGCGGCGGCAACAAAGTCAATTGTATCTCTCTGGCCTGCACTCCACTGCTCTTCGGTTTTCTGGTGAAACTCCTTCTGAGACTTCGATAGTTCTTCTTTGAAACCCCATCTTGGTAGACCCGACATGTCCCATACTTCAGACGGCAAGGAGGTGGAATATTGCATCTGGCCATCAATTCCCGCATGCTCCGTCAATTTTTTGAGTAAGCTGGGGTTCTTTAATGATGTGGAGAGAGCTAACTTCTCATTGAAATGAACCTCTTGTTTCTTCAACGATAGGAAATGGGCGAATTTTGCATTCGCGTTGGCATCGGGTGAGCCAGGAGGTGAGAGAGGTATATCTAAATTCGGAACCGGTGGCAATGTTAAGTCATGAATCAGTGTATGGGAAGTGGACAAGCGGGATCGCTCGCTGGAGGGCGGTTCTGGATGTGCTTCTTTATGTGATGGCCCAAGAATAGGACCTCTGGTTTCTCGGCTGGTAGTCGTCCCTGGCAAAATTGGGCACTTATCAGGCACTAGAAGTGATGTACGATTAGACGTGAGCAACAGAAAGAATGAATGTGAACATACCCGCATATGCTGATTTCGAAAGTTCAACTGGCTGCCCCTTATTTACGAACTGAACCGCTTAGCCTCAATATACGTACAAATTGAGCTTGTGTATATCACCTTCGTTGCGGAGGGGCTCTTCTCAACCTCATCCTCGCTGCTGCTTTCATACGCTCCAAGGCCTAGCATGATTGCAGGTCTTAGATCTCATCAGTCGTATAGGGGCGTGCACTCTCGCTTTGCAAGCTATAGAGTATGGTTAAGACTGAACTCTACCGTTATTTGCCATTCAAAACAGCAGCCACAAGTCTGAGCCTGAGTCTGGTTTAATTATTCCAATACATACGTACTGCGCTGTTCTGCTAGTAGTGGAAAGACCATGTTTCAGTGGAGAAGGAAGCTGTAACTAACTAGTTAACTAACGTAACCTGTAAACGAGCGGCCACTGCAAGCCAGCGGCCAGCTCTGGTACTCCATACAAATAGGTCCTTTTTGACACTCGAATATCTCAACAACTATAAATAGTGAGGATA